CAGATTAACTTTGACATTGGAGTTAATATGGCCTTAATTGCAGCATGAATTCGAAAAATAAGTTTATTTTGAATTTTAATAAACTAATGCAGCATGAATTCGAAAAATAAGTTTATTTTGAATTTTAATAAACTAAACGTTCACCAAAAAACTTTAGTGAGAAAAATTGAAAAAACGAACTACAAACATATTAACGCCAAACATTCGGTAGAATTTATAGAATATTGTAAAAATTATGGTCTATTAACAACATATATATATATATATATATATATATATATATATATATATATATATATATATATATATATATAGTGGATTAAGACTGTCAGAAATGCAATTATTGAATTGAGCATTCTGTGATGTTTTTCATCAATAATAAATAATATATGTATATATATATATGTCTGTGTGTGTGTGGGTTAGAGTGTACAATGTTTATGAATACAACTTCTTCCTATATTTAAAAAATAAAAACAATCATAATAATAATTAATATATAAAATCACATGTTACACATACAGAGTTTCTCTGGAAACAAAAATTGCAGGTCCAAACTTTGGCTCTGTAGTCAACTTGACTGCAATATTTTTGGAAAATTGTGTAAGTATGTTAAAAAAAGATAGATTTTATAAATTTTTAGAAAATTGGGCAGGTAATAAACATTTTATGGGAACAAAAAAATAAAGTGTGTAGATTTAAAACAATATTGTAAGACATGTTTGTCTTTAATTATCAATTGCTTCCACTATTATCCAAATACTTTAGCTATTATCATAATATTCTAAAATTTTAAATACAATTAACAAAGATATTATATAATTTATTATTAGGTGAACAACTTTATGGGACATAAAAAATAAATGAATATTTCAAATTAATAAATGAATATTTCAAATTGAAATATTCATTTTTAATATACATTTTACTCTAAAATGTTCCATCATCAGAAACATATTGAGAAACTTTAACAATATGAAATTTAATAATTAAATTTATCATTATTATTTATATACATATGTCAAGTTAGTTATTTATTTATTTATTGAACTTTTATAAAGTTATTGCTTATTCTGTTAGCAGTTAGGATTAGATTAGATTTAGCAGTCTTAGGAAGATGCTAGTTTTTTTAATTAGTAGTCTGGAGTAGATTGTAATTTATTTTTTTATATTATATATAATTTTATAAATAGAAAAAAGTGAAAAACAGACCAAAATGGATTGAGCACAGCTCTGCATATAGCTCTGGTACAAAGAACTGGATCGTATTGGATTGGAGGTAGATCAGGTCTTTCTTTCAGCGGGGTGTACAAACAACCCAAGGGTACGACCAAACGCGTGGCTTCCAGACGACTGGACGGCCAAACATTCCAACTGAAACGTATACCATCGCGGTCCTCATTCTGCTGAATGAATTCTTGGTACGTGGACATTACGCTTGGCCGAAATTAAACAAAAAATAATTATTATGTAAAAAATAAGCAGTGTGGGAGAAGTAAAATAAATAAATATTTGATAATCAACGGTATTCCAAATCTATCGTCAGTTCAGTTGGCCAGTTTTTGCCACGTTTGTTCAGCGTAGTTGGCTAAATGTTTAAAAGTGAATTATTTTAATCACTTTATTACAACTTAGATACTACGGACACTACTTAGATACTTCAATTAACCCAACCAGCTACCGACCCCATCACTACATATTCTTGCCAAACATGTTTGCAAATTGAATGGGCCATTTACATATAATCTGTAATTAATTAATAGGCAGTAAATTTACTCCATATACATACTTAGAATCATATACCTATAATACGGATAAAATTTGTAATGGTCAATGGCATTAAATTAATAGTAATAGATAGATTACTGATAATAATTATCATTAATTATTATTATAATTATACTTATTAGTAATAGATTAATAGTAATTTTACTCTTCTTCTTGCTCTTGACTTTTCCTCGGCTTTTGATACTGATGATCATACTATTCTCTTGAGACTGCTACATTTTTCTTTTAATAATACTGATTCTTGTCTATCTTGGTTTTCTTTTTCTCTCTGTAATCGTTTTTCTTCTGCTGTTCTCAATAATTCTACTTCTAACTCCTCTACTCCTACTTTCGGGGTACCTCAGGGTTCTATCCTTGGCCCTTTTCTATTTATACTCTATACTTCTGAACTACCTCGTGTTATTAATAACTTTTCTTTCTCTAGTCAACTATATGCTGATGATTCTTACATTTATACTTCTTTTTCTCCATCTAATCTCAATAGTGTTCTTCATAATCTATCTCTATGTCTTTTTTCAATTATCGCTTGGTCTGACTCTATGTGTCTTAAACTTAATCCTTCTAAGTTTGAATTAATTTGTTTTAATAAATCTAAACACTCTATTACTATTCCTCCTATTATCTTACCTGATTCTAAAACTCTTGATGTTTCTCACAAGTTTCGTAGTCTAGGTTTTATCTTTGATTCTACTATGTCTCTCTCTTCTCAGAATAATAGTGTTGCTAGAAGCTCTTACTTTCATCTACGTAAAATTAAAAAAACTTTTGCCTTTTCTTGATGATCCTACTCTTCTCCTTTTTGTTACTTCGTTAGTCTTATCTAGAATTGATTATTGTAACTCGCTATACTATGGTCTTCCTGACTCTATACTCTATCCTTTAAGTAAAGCTTTTAACTCTGCTGCTCGACTAGTTTCTCGTGCCCCTTTCTTTTCTTATATATCTCCATATTTTGTTCTCTTGCACTGGCTACCTATAAAATATAGAATAATTTTTAAAATTTGTAAGTTCATGTATAAGTCTCAATCTAAATTATTTCCTAAGTAGTTATCACATATATTAATTGAACCTAAACGCCCCGGTTTACGATCGTCTTCTTGTTCTCGCTTTTTCTTAACTCGAGTTAAACACTCTTTTGCCAAATCTTCTTTTGCATTTTTTTGGTCCTTTTTTCTTGAACTTTCTACCTACTTCTCTGACTACTTTTCCATCACTTGCGAAGTTCAGAGCGGATCTCAAGACCCATCTGTTTTCAAAATTCATTGAGGAGCGCTGTTGAACATCGCGGAAATAGCGCTTTATAAGCTAATTGATTGATTGATTGAAATTAAACGAATTTCGTTACATATTGTTTTAATGACAAAATAATCACTTTGTACCTAAGAACCTAGGTCTTTCTGCGACTTTCTGCAAGCGAAGTGCTCGTTTACCAAGCTTTCTTAATAGATCTTTTTCTATTGACGGATTTAGGGGAGCCAAAAGGAGGCCGGTGCACCCCCTTTCCTGAGGTGAGCTGTATGTGTATTAAAAAGGAGTAAAATTGATTGTTTTAACGGAAAAAGACGTAATGGACATTATAGATAGTAAAAAAATATCGTCTTTAAAATTGCCCTCTCTCGGTTAACCTTAACATTTTGAAAATTTTGCTTCCCCCGATCTACCGAATTGTTGGCATTAAGTAACTTAAAGTTTGTCTTTTCAATTTTTTATTATTAAAATTTTCTGGAAATTGTTTATTTTATTCAAAATAGAATTATTATCCAAATTCATCCTCAATTATTATCTAAATTCATTATCGATTTATAAATTTATCACAAATCATCTTCAGCACAGCTTTGGTTTATTTAGCTTCTTAGTCAAGGAAAGGTCGTTAATAAATTGGCGTCATTTTATTCATCTTCTTTGTTGATGTCACATTAATTTTGAACATTGTTATTGGAGTTGGCACTAGGCGTCGGGTTGGTAACAATGTAAACATTGTTTGATAGATGTTTTTTAGTCGTGCATTGGTGATGTTCATTAGGACAACTTCTGGAATTTTTAGGTGTATTGTGTTGGTGTTTTGGTAAATTATTTTTGTGTTGTCCAGAATTTGTCAGGTAACTAGAGTTGCATGCGTTGATTGTGAGATTTGATGGCTCCTCTTTCTTTGTGTATGCATTTTGAGACGTCCAGATAGTGAAGTTTTTTTTTATTATTATTCTTTAAAAAATTGAAAGTGGTCGTAACTGTGTTGTTGGCGCGCACAGTCGTCAATAGGGCATCTGAACTGGTAAATTACAAGATCACGTTTAATCATACATTTGCCTGACCTGAAAGCCGAATCTGATCTATGGATATATATCCATGATCTGATCGTGATGTGTATGACAGTTAAACAGCACAACTTGAAATTTATTTTATCACCAATCCCAGTTATTTGATTAAATAACGGTCCTTATATATTAAATTTTTTAGGTTAAATCTAAAAATTACTTTGATAGAAACAAAAAAAACAAGGTTTAGAATATTTTAATAGAAAAAATGAATGGAATAGAACTAAATGCAGAAAGATATTTGATTACTAAAAAAATTAACAATGTGCGTAGTTGTTTCAGCAAAGACCTAAAAGAGGTTATGTTTCAAAAATCAGTTATCAAACAAGACCAAGTAAAAAGGTGAATGCAAGTTTGTGGCGTGTTAAACCAGTTTAATCATGGATAATAAATCCAGTATGTTTAAACCAGTTCGCGCGTTTTTTTTGCGCAGCCTGGCCCGAGCAAAAAACCGATCGTGTGCTGGGACCTCAATGCCATAATCATTTTGAGTATTAATGTTGTTTTTGTTCATTTAAATGTAGTATGTGTGTAATGCATTGTAATGCACGCAACTAATGCACGAGTGTGCAGCTTGGCTACTAATTGTATATATTATAAAACTAACAAAGGGAACAAAACTTATATTTAACCTTCTTTCTATTTATTCAAATGCAATCTTAACCAAAATGCTCCAAAAGTCCAAATCCAACTTCATGACCAGTATATGAAGTTAAGAAAAAAAGTACATTATAAAATTATTATTTGAAATTATTATCATTCTATCTTTGTCGACATTCAACGTGCCAAAAACATTTGATTCATAAGGCTGATCAAACTTAAGTTCCCTGCTAATTTTCAATATTTTCATATCAACAGAAAGAGTTCTAACATTTGAAGAATCGATAATTAAAATATCATTTTTAGAAATCTTTATGAGATGATTGGGACTTTGAAAAACTGAGTTGGAACAGCCGCCAACAATATTTACTGAAGATCCAGATGAGTCTATCAAGCAGACCCTATGCTTTTCCCCTTGGTGACAGACAACATACTCATTCTCATCAATTTTTATTGCATGTCTCGGTTCATCTAAAGATGAATCTAATTGTATTTCCTTCAAGGTCTCTCCTAGCAAACTAATTTCTAACAGTACATTAGGGTTCATACAAGTCATCAATAAATTATCTTCTTCTGTCACAGAAAGTTTAGAATATGTAGATGAATAAGTCCATTTTGTAGATTTGTAGTTAAATAGGTCAATTTTGTAAACTGTGGTGGTAGATTGCAGTGATTCAGAAATGAACAAATTGTTACATGTTGCTACAATACTTTGTGGGTCTCTCAAGCCTCCAACTTCAATTACAAACTTCAATTGTTTCAAGTTATTTAAATGATACACTAAAATTTCGTTACTTGAAAATAAGCCACAATATAATGATGAGAAATATATAAAACAACTTTTCACAATCATCGTTCCTGGAATGCCCTCCAATAGAATAGGTTTACCTTGAATGATTTGACTTTTGTCAGCAATTTTTTCTTGAGAATTATCTTTATAATGAAAAGAGATTTGATTGAAAAATTTAAAATAGCTTGCACACAAATATTCAATAAAGAATGAAAAAGAGAACACATTAAAGTTTGAAATAGTTAAAATAATAACCTGATTGTTTACGTATTGAACCAATTAAATCTTCTTTTTGTACAAGTTTATGAGAAAATTTGATTCCAAAATTGACAACAAATTGATTGTAGTCAGGCACTTCAATGCTTTGAGACTCACAAAGAAGTTTTGGAACATTGTTTAATATCATATATGATGTTCCTCTGTTGAGCAGCTCATTTGAATCACAGATAAATGCTTCCATGTTTCTTTTGTGTTTCATAAAAGTGTCTTTTACTGGATTTATTTGATTCAAATTTTCAGTTTTTATACTTTCACTTTCAGTTATTAAATCTGCAACTCTTTCATCAATTAATTTTTTCAAATCTTCCCCACTTTGTTTTATAGCATCTTGTATTGATTTAAATTTGGTATTAAATATTTCCAGCCCCTGATTAATTTTATTCAATTTGTCATTAACTTTATCCAAAGAGAGTTTTTTTTTACTGATAGCATCTGTTAATTCATATTTCATATTGTCTGCAGCTTCAAAAATTTCAACGAATTGATGTTTGCTGTGTTCAACCATGGAGCAAGTATGACAGGCTAACTGTTTGCAATTTATGCAAAATGCTCTCAAATAATCATCATGCCGTAAACAACGAGGTCTGATCGTTTTTAGTTCAACGAGTTTCTTTAAAAAAAGGTTGTCCGGCAAATCTCGGACATTTTTTTTAAGTATACTTTCTTGGTTATTGCATTTTTCATTTGGGCAAGTAATGGTTTCTTGTTCTTGTCTGTCGGAATAAAATCTTTCAAGGCAACGATAACAAAACGTATGACGGCAACACTTGAACATTTTTGGCCTGTCGAGAAAATTTTTACAAATGGGACATATCCAAATTTCGCGTTTCATGCTGATTTTTTGGATTTTCTCACGTAAGGACCATTAAATTAAATTAAAATAATAAGATAACGAGAAGCAACCGTTAGAGGGTATGCTAAACTTATAATCACACCACACTACACTACACAACTATCTAGATAGACATACGATACAACATAGGAGATATGAAACCATCAACTTTGGAAATTCCAATAATGAGAATGTGCGTGTAAATCCACGTAGGGGTTGAAATGATTGATATTTATTTATTTTATTTTACAAATTTTATTAACCACAAAAAAAATGGCTTGGAGACCATACAAGCTTATTAAGCTTTATAGGCCACCAAAAAGAAAAACAGAAACAATTTAAAAAATTATCAAGCGCATATACGATAACATAATTTGTTCGTTCAACTGTTTGACACAAAAGCATAGCACACTGCACATAAATTAAACGTTCGTAAAACAAAATGATAATGAAATGAAACTAAAATTTGATCCTTGTAGTGTTATCTAAAATGTGTAAGATCATACAACAAATATATAATTCAAACTAAGGCCAATAAATAAATACTAACATATATTCATGACATGCATTCAAAAAATAACAGCAATATAATTAAAATGTTCAATCATATGATTTTGCCTGAACAAACAACAAATTGAATTCAAACTAAGTCCAAGAATAAATATCAACATACATTCAAGACATACATTCAAAAACCAACAGCAATAAACTCAAAAATGTTTAATCATATTATATCAGCATAATAAATTAGAAATAACAAAGATTATTTGGAAACGTATAATAATATTTTATTAGAAAAATCAGAAATACTATTTAATAATTTGAACTCTGAAGGCAATCTATTCCAAAGTGAAACCCCGGAGGAGAAAACAGATAATTTATAAATTACTAATTACTAAGGTTGAACATAATCATTCATTTGTCTTAAAACACGTAACTTTTTATCAGGAGCTTTAAAATGAATAGACAAATTAGGAGGCAATAAATTTTTATATAATTTAAACATAAATTTTAACAGACCAAAATTATATATTTGTTTAATTGTTAATAGATTAGCTTCTTGGTAAAAACTTGAGACATGGTCATACTTTTTCAAGAAAAAAGACATCTAACAAAACTATTATAGGCCAATCTCAAAGAATTAAGATGGGTCGTGCAACTATTACCCCATAACATTACGCCATATGTTAAATACGGATAAATTAAACCGTAATATAATTTTATAGTGACATCAAAACTAAGCTTGAACCTCAATTTACGAATGATACCAGTAATTTTAGAAATTTTACTTGATATGTGCATTATATGATTTAACCATGACAAATTGTCTGTAATTACAAAACCTAAAAATTTATTTGTATACACTCTTTCAATACTGTTATTATCAATTTTAATAGAAATCCCTAAATTATTAGTAACATTCTTAGAACCAAAAATCATATAGTTTGTTTTTTTATAATTTATATTTAAGTCATTTTAAGTCATATTATTCTATATATATATATATATATATTATATATATATATATATATATATATATATATGATAGAAGCCATACACATATTATACGTAGATGTGAAATAATATATATATATATATATATATATATATATATATATATATATATATATTATTCACGTATTCATGCACGTATTCTAAGTATGTGATGTACATAGAAAAACATTGAAACATGTTTAAAATCCGTACATACAAAACTTGAATATAATTTTTTAAATATATGGCTAACAAATTAAATAACAACTTTGGTTAATATGTTAAATTTGTTATTTAATAAATTTAATAACATAAAATATAAAAATTGAGGTATAAAAGTTGAACAATCAGCCTTTGGTGCATGGATATAATATCCATGGTTTGATGTGGTGCTGCTTTTGTGCTTCATTGTTCATTGTTTATTTTATTTAACCAGTGTACGATCATGTGAGCAGACGAGATGCTCGTTAAAAAAGAATTTTCTATTAAACTTGTGAATGTCACTTTTTTATTTTTGACATATCTGCAAATCTTCGTTAATGTCAGATGCTACGCCGATGATGACTGCCGGGCTGATGAGTACAACTTTTCTTTATTGGCATCAAAGTAGAAACTTTTTTAATAAAATTTATTTTTATTGAAATTAAATTTAAATTAATTTTCAATATGTTTTTTTATTATGTGTAATTGTGTAATATATTGTAGACTATTACTATTACACAATTACTGTTTTATTATTGTGTATTTTCCAATAAAAAATACACAATAATGTTGAAACTAAAATGAAAAGTGATTATGATTATGTAACAATTGCTACATTTTGGGCATGAAAATGACTTTATTTTTTATTTAATTAATAGATATAATTATTAAGTTCAAGCATACGGTTTTTACCATAATAATCTATTAATTTATTTTGAAGTATAATTATTAATTTTAATTTTTATTTTGTTTCATAAATTAATTGGAGTTGTTAAATGAAAGTGGTAAAAGGGAGATAGATAGGTACTCCTATGGTATCATTCATGTTTACAAACATCATAATGTACTTTTAATAATTATCTAGCGCTTGATTATTTATTTATATCAAATTGAAAATAATTTAATTAGGTAAGTTTTTTAGATCATTACTTGTCAAATAGTTGATATAGTGAACATTAAATAAAAAAAAAGTTAAAATATGAGTAAATTTCTGTTCTGATAACAATCAATGGCTAA